TGAATTGAATTGAACTCACGTCCAGTTGGCTCCTTTGGGGCCGAACATGGGCCTGACACTCCAGCCAGACCCAAACATGTTGAGTGACTTAGAGAAACAGTCGTTGTAAATGACGCCTGTGTAGACGGAGAAGATGCCCATCAGGAGGATGATGTAGCGTCCAGCAAAAATCATGTTGAACATCTACAGAAGCAAACAGAAAACACTGGAATATGATGCTTCTGCTCACCGACTGAACGAGGATTTACTATGTTGGATTACTTCTACTTGTGTTAACGTACCTCATTGTCACTCTTCTGGGCGAGGAGGCGACTCTCTCGAATGACCAGGTAGAGGGCAGCGCAGGTCATCAGCAGGCCGTGGCCCATGTCACCAAACATGACAGCAAACAGGAAGGGGAAGGTGATGATGGTGTACGGAGCTGTAGGCACACAGGGATCCAACAACCATCATTCAACTCTGCTGCTGAAACTTGAAGCAAATAACACATTTTACACACAAAGTAACAAATCTTTGTAACAGAAGCAAACTCGCTCTGTTCGTTTGGTTGACACTCGATTAGTTTGGCCTGAACACTGAACTGCTGCAGAGTCCAGGAGAGCTTCACATTCACCGCAGTCACAATCACACGTTTGAATGAACAGTCATTTCAATATGACCTGGATTGATTTCCCGGTAACTTCCGATGCCGTAGGCGTCCACAATATTCTGGAAGCCTGATGTGAACTTGTTGGTCTTGTTGAAGGTGGGTGGAGTCTGTTTGGTCTGCATCCTGTTTAGGATGGAGGGCACTGTTGATCCGCTCCTCTCCTGTGAAATAAAGCCTCGTTTAGAAAACCTCTGACTGGACCTCAGACCTCAGTGAGCTCCTCATCCAAAGGTCCACAGACCAGTGAACTTTGTCTTTACAGCTAAATCAAAGCATCTCTCAGATACTTTCCTCATCCAACTATCAGCGGTCCCCAACCCCCGGGGGCTCGTTTGGTACCGGGCGCGACAATTGAGGCTCGGGTGTGAAATTTATGGTTTTGATCATTAACTCGGTTTCCCTGAATAAATTTTCTCTTGGTACTGGTGCAAAATACCACAGTTTGTGTCTTGGTCCTATCGTTTTATTTTGTTGCATTTATCCGCGACACCTTAAAGGCCGGTCCGTGAAAATATTGGTCCGTGGTGCAAAAAGGTTTGGGACCGCTGAGGTAACTTATTAGTGTAAACAGGGAGATTCCCCGTCAGCTGTTTGTTGGCCTGTGCCAACTTAAATGTAAAATATGACATAAAGAAGTGTTTTTCTAACATTTCTTTCCATTCTGCTCAGACATGTTTTATCTCTGCTATGCAGATGATATTCCGCTGTACACTTTGGATGGCAGACAGATTTCTTTAACTAAATCGAGACAAACTGAAATAACTGTGCAGCAGAAACGTGTGTCTGGGATAAAGGAGACACTTGTTGGTTCTGTGGATGCACATGTGAAGACTCAGCTCGTTCCTGTGTTTATCATCTACAACATAAGCTGCACTGTGTCACGTCCTGAACTGGAAACGATTATTCGCGCTGTTGTTTCCTCACATTTGGATTCCTGCAGTGCACGCGTGTGTTAGCAAAACCTCC